GTCCTTCGAGAATGAAGACTCAAAATATATCCTTCCAGAATGAAGACCAAACGTCTGTCCTTCCAGAATTAAGACCCAACGTCTGTCCTTCCAGAATTAAGACCCAACGTCTGTCCTTCCAGAATTAAGACCAAAAGTCTGTCCTTCCAGAATGAAGACCCAACGTCTGTCCTTCCAGAATTAAGACCCAAAGTCTGTCCTTCCAGAATTAAGACCCAACGTCTGTCCTCCCAGAATTAAGACCAAAAGTCTGTCCTTCCAGAATTAAGACCCAACGTCTGTCCTTCCAGAATTAAGACCCAATGTCTGTCATTCCAGAATTAAGACCCAATGTCTGTCCTTCCAGATCTAAGACCCAACATCTGTCCTCTCAGAATAAATATCCCTAATCTGTCCATCGAGAATGAAGAACCAAAATGTGTCCTTCCAGAATGAAGACCAAAAGTCTGTCCTTCCAGTATTAAGACCCAACATCTGTCCTTCCAGAATGAAGACCCAACATCTGTCCTTCCAGAATGAAGACTCAACATCTGTCCTTCCAGAATGAAGACTCAACATCTGTCCTTCCAGTATTAAGATCCAACATCTGATGGCTGCTGATCACTGTGGCGTTCCAGCCCCTCTCTTCCTATTCATCAGCAGAGGTGGAGCAAGGCCGGCCATCCATCACATATGCAATGTGTCAGTGAGTGATGACATCATCAGAGTCCCACAGACTGCTCTTCTAGTGCCTGCTGGGCCTGATGATCAGTGTCAGTGTTGGTGGTGGTGTGATGTGTCGGATCTGTCACTGTGTTCAGGTCTTCTCTGTGTGTGTGTGTGTGTGTGTGTGGGGGGGGGGGGGGGCTGCCTGCTGTCACAGTGTTTTACCTCCCCCATTGCCTGGAGAATTCCAGCCTGGGATCTCAGAGTGTGGATCCATCATCCTCCACTCACTGCGACTATCACCCTGCCACTGCCAGCCACAGATACCCTCTGTCCTGGACACAGATTTTGTCTGTAATATTGGTGCTCTTGGCATCTTATGGTTTATCCTTCCAGAATGAAGCCCAGACATCTGTCCTAAAATTAAGGGCCAAAATCTGTCCTTCCAGAATGAAGACCCAATATCTGTCCTTTGAGAATGAAGACCCAAAATCTGTCCTTTGAGATTGAAGACCCAAAATCTGTCATTTGAGAATGAAGACCCAAGATCTGTCATTTGAGGATGAAGACCCAAAATCCGTCATTTGAGAATGAAGACCCAAAATCTGTCCTTTGAGAATGAAGACCCAAAATCCATCATTTGAGAATGAAGACCCAAAATCTGTCCTTTGTGAATGAAGACCCAAAATCTGACCTTTGAGAATGAAGACCCAAAATCAATACCCTTGATCTGTCCTTCCAGAATGAAAACCCTTAATCTGTCCTTCCAGAAAAAAAGACCCTTAAGATGTCTTTCCAGAATGAAGACCCTTAATCTGAACAACCTCAGACCCATCTCCCTGCTCCCATTTACATCTAAACTCCTCGAGCGCCTCGTCTACACCCGCCTATGCTCTCACCTCAACGGCAACAACCTCCTCGATCCCCTACAGTCCGGCTTTCGTCCCCTACACTCCACCGAAACCGCCTTACTCAAACTCTCCAACGACCTGCTAACCACCAATGCTAATGGCCACTATTCAGTGCTCCTACTCCTTGACCTCTCTGCGGCCTTTGACACAGTCGACCACCCCCTCCTCCTCAAAAAACTACACTCCCTCGGCTTCAGAGATTCTGCTCTCTCCTGGCTCTCATCCTACCTGTCACAACGCTCTTTCAGCGTTACCTATAATGCTACCACCTCCCCCTCACTCCCCCTCTCTGTTGGAGTCCCTCAAGGCTCCGTCCTCGGGCCCCTTCTCTTCTCCATCTACACCTCCTCCCTTGGCCAACTCATACACTCTCATGGCTTCAACTACCACCTCTATGCTGACGACACACAAAATCTATCTCTCAACCCCCCACCTCGCCCCCTCGGTCTCCGCCCGAATCACACACCTACTGAGCGACATATCAGACTGGATGTCACTCCACTTCCTTAAACTGAACCTCTCCAAAACCGAGTTTCTTGTCTTCCTCCCAGCCCGGACCCCACCCCCCATTGACTTCTCCATCACATCCAACAACGCCACCATCAAACCCGCCCTGCAGGCCAGAGTACTTGGTGTCATTCTGGACTCCAACCTGTCCTTCCAGCCCCAAGTCCACTCTTTAACAAACTCGTGCAGACTCCACCTCCGCAACATGCAGACTCCACCTCCGCAACATGCAGACTCCGCCTCCGCAACATGCAGACTCCACCTCCGCAACATGCAGACTCCACCTCCGCAACATCGCCAAAATCCGCACGTTCCTAACCCCAGAAACCACTAAACAGCTCATCCACTCCCTCATCATATCACGACTCGACTACTGCAACTCCCTCCTCACTGGCCTGCCTCACCGCTGGCTATCCCCGCTTCAGTCCATCCTGAATACGGCTGCCAGACTCATTCACCTTTCCAACCGCTCCGTCTCCGCCACCCCCCCTCTGCCAATCCCTCCACTGGCCTCCACTCAGTGTCCTCCACCCCCCTCTGCCAATCCCTCCACTGGCTCCCGATTGCGCAACGGATCAAATTCAAAATCCTAACACTGACATACAAAGCCGTCCACCATACTGCCCCGAACTACATCACCGACCTAATATCTAAGTACCACCCAGAACGCACAATCCGCTCCTGACAAGACCTCCTTCTCTCTAGTTCCCTGGTCTCCTCCTCCCATGCCCGCCTCCAGGACTTCTCCAAGGTGTCACCCATCCTCTAGAACTCCCTGCCCCAACCCATCAGATTATCACCTACTCTCCTCTCCTTTAGGCGCACCCTGAAAACCCATCTCTTCAGGGAAGCCTACCGCACCCCCTGCTAACCTGCCGACCTCCTCCACTCTTCCTACCACTCCAATCCCCCACAGCTATCTCCTCCTGTGTCACCATCCCCTCCCTCCTAGATTGTAACCTCCAAGGAGCAGGGCCCTCGATCCCCTCATGTTTTGCATTGTATTGGTATTGTTCTGTCACATGTTCTGTCCCCCTCTGTAATGTACAGCGCTGAGCGAACCATTGGCGCTTTATAAATACTGTATAATAATAATAATAATAATCTGTCCTTCCAAAATGAAGACCCTTAATCTGTCCTTCCAGAATGAAGACCCTTAATCTGTCCTTCCAGAATGAAGACCCTTAATCTGTCCTTCCAGAATGAAAACTTTTAGGCTCCATGTACACGAGCCTATCCTGACAGCCGGCCGCAGGAAAACGCAAATCACGGCAAAATGCGGAAACCGCGGTACTGTGATTTTGCCCGCGTTTTGCGTTTTCCCGCAGCCGACGGTCAAAATGTTCCTATTTGGAATGCGATTCTTCCCTGTTCAGGAGAGGGAGGTATAGCCTCACCCAAACATGGAAGCTCCTAAACTCTGCTAAAAGCCTATGTGTATATGGACTCATAGGCTTTTATGGAGTTGAGTTTAGGATCTTTGGCAAAAAATACCAAAAACTGCTAAACTCGAGTTTAGAAGCTGCTCATGTACATGGAGCCTCAATCTGTCCTTCCAGAATTAAGACCCTTAATCTGTCCTTCCACAAAAAAAAGACCCTTAATCTGTCTTTCCAGAATGAAAACCCAAAATCGGTTCTTCTAGAAAAAAGATCAAAAATCTGTCCTTCCAGAATAAAGACCCATAATCTATCCTTCCAGAATAAAGACCCAAAATATGTCCTTCCAAAAAAAAAGACCCCAAATATGTTCTCTGTCCTCCCAGAATGAAGAACCAAAATCTGTCCTTTCAAAATGAAGACCCAAAGTCTGTCCTCCCAGAATGAAGACTTAACATCTGTCCTTCCGGAATAAAGACCCAGCATCTGCCCTTCCAGAATGAAGACCTTTAATCTGTCCTTCCAGAATGATAACCCACATCTGTCCTTCCAGGAAAAAAAAGACTCAAAATATGTCCCCCAGAATAAAGACCCTTAATCTGTTCTTCCAGAATGAAGACCCAACGTCTGTCCTTCAAGAAGGAAGACCCTTAATCTGTCCTTTCAGAATGAAGACCCAACATCTGTCCTTCTAGAATGGAGACCCAACATCTGTCCTTCCAGAATGAAGACCCTTAATCTGTCCTTCCAGAATAAAGACCCAACATCTGTCAACAAAATGCCAGAAGCTCCTAAACTCGAGTTTAGGAGCTGCTCGTGTACATGGAGCATTAATCAGTCCTTCCAGAATGAAGACCCTTAATCTGTCCTTCCAGAATGAAGACCCTTAATCTGTCCTTCCAGAAAAATGATGCTTAATCTGTCCTTTCAGAAAAAAGACCCAAATTCTGTCCTTCCAGAAAAAAGACCAAACATCTGTCCTTCCAGAATAAAGACCCAAAATTTGTTCGCCCAGAATAAAGACCCAACACCTGTCCTTCCAGAATGGAGACCTAACATCTTTCCGTCCAGAATGGAGACCTAACATCTTTCCGTCCAGAATGGAGACCTAACATCTTTCCGTCCAGAATGGAGACCTAACATCTTTCCGTCCAGAATGGAGACCTAACATCTTTCCGTCCAGAATGGAGACCCAAAATCTGTCCTTCCAGAATAAAGACCCAACACCTGTCCTTCCAGAATGGAGACCTAACATCTCTCTTTCCAGAATGGAGACCTAACATTTGTCCTTCAAGAATGAAGACCCAAAATCTGTCCTTCCAGAATAAAGACCCAAAATCTGTCCTTCCAGCATAAAGACCTTCCAGAGGAGAATGTCATCGCCATACCAAATCGCCTACAGAGTGATACGTTGTACCTCTTCACCACTCCCAAACAGTGAAGTATTTAGGTTTCGTGCTGCCCTAAGCAACACAAAAATCGCCCCCCGCACGGAGAGACCCTGACACCAACCAACACCCCCCTCCCCCACAAAGAGTGCCTGACATTGACTAAACAACACCCCAGCCCCCCCCACCTGAGAGAGCCTTCCACTACCACCTCCCCCCATACACTGGCAACCCCACCACCTCGGTGAGAGAGAAGACACTCACCTTCACAGCTCATCCCCGGGAACAAGAGTCAGGCTCTGCATACACCATCAAGCAACCCGCAGCCTCTCTCAGATCCCACCTGGTCACCATGTTGCTTGTGTCCCCCCTTCCATCCCTTCTTTAAGGGGGCGGAGCTGCCTCCTGAAAATAGATGCTGCCTCCCTGAAAGATGCCGCCCTAGGCAAATGCCTTGTTTGCCTTGTGGTAAATACGCCCCTGCTCCCAAATCTTACACAGTTTCATTCATCGCTTCTAATAAAATTAAGAGTCGTTCACACCAGCAGCTGCATCAGACATGCTGGGAGGTTCACACAAATGAACTGGTTCAAATTTTACTGAAATGTAAGTGACAATTTTGTAAGTCCTCCCTCCGGCCTTCCCATCATTCTTGCACAGTTGTGTCGGCTCCTCTCCTGGACTGAAATGGTTTCCTCCGATTTCACGGCACACTGGGAGCTGCTCACAACGTGCATTAGAAGCTGCAGAAAGTCAGAGAGAGCTCCGCCTGAAAGCTGGAGGACACCCAGCATCATCTAGCACTTTGGAAGGGAGTAGAGACATGGTTTGCCAGCACTCTGTGTGCCTATGGAAGCACACAGCCTGGCTCGGCAGCGCCTCCATAACACTGGGCTTGCTAAGGAGGCACTCAGAGGAGGGAGGAGGGGACTGATTTGAATGGAGGTATTGAACCCAGGGTTGCTCTTAGAAACCATGGGGCCCCATACAGCCAACCTGACAGCCCCCCCCCTCCCCCCCCAAAAAAAAACACAGTTTAGTATGCTTCCATTATGAATGAACACAGTGAGTGATCAGTACCAATAGCTCACTGTGTTCATTCAGGAAAGAAAGGGGTTGGTAAATGTGGGCAAACATATGGTGCACAAGACGGGTGCTGGGTTTGGGGTGCGGTCGCAATTACTGGAACCGATCCCCTGTATGGCTCTCTCTTCAACTTTCAGCTGCTGCAGAGAGTCTTACAGGGGATTGGTTCCAGTAATTGCCCCCCCCCCCCCACTGTGCTGATCACCCTACCCACCCACATCCAATTTACCCAGCTGCATGGGCCCCCCTGCTGGCCTGGGCCCCGTACAGGAGTACTTTTTTTTATTTTAACCCCGCCCCAAAAATGTATCCTTTAGAATCGCTGTAGACATCAGCTTTAATAATGTTGCATCGATTTGCGTATTTTCTACAGGAATGGGGTAACTCATACCCTCCAATGGGGGGGGGGACCCTCAGTAATACAGGCCATACATGGTTCAAATTCCGAGCGATTTTAAGTCCGAAAATCGGAAACGTCGTTCGCTCGGAAATCCGATGGGCGCCATCATTTATTTGGGCAGCACAGTGGCTAAGTGGTTAGCACTTCCGCCTGGCAGTTCTAGGGTCATTGGTTCGAATCCCAACCATGGCACCACCTGCCTGGAGTTTGCATGTTCTCCCTGTGCCTGCGAAGGTTTCCTCCGGGTACTCCGGTTTCCTCCCACACTCCAAAGACATGCTGGAAGGTGAATTGGCTCCTGTCTAAATTGGCCCTAGTATGTGCATGTATGATTAGCACCTCTGCCTGGCAGTACTAAGGTCGTTGGTTCGAATCCCAACCACGCCACCACCTGCCTGGAGTTTGCATGTTCTCCCTGTGTCTGCGTGGGTTTCCTCCAGGTACTCCGGTTTCCTCCCACACTCCAAAGACATGCTGGTAGATGAATTTGATCCTGTCTAAATTGGCCCTAGTATGTGTGTGTATGAATGTGAGTTAGGAACCTTAGATTGTACACTCCTCGGGGGCGGGGACTGATGTGAAAGGACATTATATATATAAAGCGCTGTGTAAATTGACAGCGCTGTACAAGTACCTGAAATAAATAATTTTGAAAATCGGCCGACCGAGTCATAAAGTTCACCCCATATAACAGGTGAAGCTTCTGTTCCTTCCAGGTCACGGCTCACGCGCCTATTCTTTTCGGAAAAACGATCGTACGAATCGACCATCGTTGAGTCGAAAATCGGTCATTTTCCAACATGCCCGCTCACCGTAAAGGGGAGGAACCACGAAAATCGGCCAGTGCCATTGAGCCCACTAACAGAGGGAAAATCGGCCGATTATTCTTAGGTCCGGACGAAAAAAATCGGTCGATTTTTGACCCATGTATGGCCGGCCTAAAGATATTTTAAAAAACTGCAGTGAACACGTGAAGCTTTCCAGAGCAGAGACAAAATTATTTTCCGAAATAATGTTCCCCCAGCAGGTGACTTATGGTTTTTTTTTTTTCTGAAGCTTTTTGTTGGCGCTGTCACGCTGCAATCATTCGTTTGCCTGCCTTCCAAAACCGATCGTCATGCCGGGTTTGGCCTCCAACACAAGTCTCCTGTCATCTGACACTGCGGACGGCTAGCCACACAAGCGTTGGGAGCACGGTTCCAGGAAATCGACCTAATCATAAAAAACCATGCGGTCGATCGTAATGCGCTCCACAAAATCAAATATTTGCTGAGATTTAGAAAAATAACCAAAAGAAAAAAAAAAAACATTTCACAAATCGGCAAAAGGAATATAACTTTTTTCTCTCTCTCTCTTTACTTGTTTTTTTGGCAGAATTCAAGGAAGCCTTTTCGCTCTTTGATCGAACCCCTAACGCGAGATGAAAATCACCTACGGACAATGTGGGGACGTTCTGAGGTCGCTGGGGCAGAATCCGACCAACGCTGAAGTCATGAAAGTCCTCGGACGGCCAAAACCAGAAGGTTAGCGAGTGTTTGTCATGTCCGCTTGCCAGCAGAATTAATGTTTTGCAAACAGGCCGAGTTTTTCCAGAGTTCTGTCAATTCAACTTTCTCTGGCTGAAGAGAAACTGGGAGGAGAGCGGAGAAAGACATTTGGTAGCGAGCAAACTGGCACAGGCCGACATTTTATTACATAATGCAAAACAGCTTTGCGGTTCTTTATTATTATTATTCGTTCTGAACTTTTTGGAAGCTAGAAAGATTAAAGACCAACTCTGAGCTGGATTATATTTTTTTTTTACGTGTGGAGCAATAATGACCCCTGAAGGAGCTGTTGGATCCTTAATGGGCTCTCCTGCCTTCTCAGTGGTGTCCTGCCCCAAAACACTTAACGACCCACCAACCCACCAGTAGCAACAATCAGATTTCAAGACGTGGAGCAATGACTCCTGAAGGAGCTGTTGGACCATTAATGGGCTCTCCTGCCTTCTCAATGGTGTCCTGCCGCAAAAACACTTAATGACCCACTAACCCACCAGTTGCAACAATCAGATTTCAAGACGTGTGGAGCAATGACCCCTGAAGGAGCTGTTGGATCTTTAATGGGCTCTTCTGCCTTCTCAATGGTGTCCTGCCGCAAAAACACTTAATGACCCACTAACCCACCAGTAGCAACAATCAGATTTCAAGACGTGTGAAGCAATGACCCCTGAAGGAGCTGTTGGATCTATAATGGGCTCTTCTGCCTTCTCAATGGTGTCCTACCCCAAAACACTTAACGACCCACCAACCCACCAGTAGCAACAATCAGATTTCAAGACGTGTGGAGCAATGACCCCTGAAGGAGCTGTTGGATCTATAATGGGCTCTTCTACCTTCTCAATGGTGTCCTGCCCCAAAAACCCTTAATGACCCACTTACCCACTAGTTGCAACAATCAGATTTCAAGACGTGTGGAGCAATAATGACCCCTGAAGGAGCTGTTGGAACTTTAATGGGCTCTCCTGCCTTCTCAATGGTGTCCTGCCCCAAAACACTTAACAACCCACTTACCCACCAGTACCAACAATCAGATTTCAAGACGTGGAGCAATGACCCCTGAAGGGGTTGTTGGATCCGTAATGGGCTCTCCTGCCTTCTGAATGGTGTCCTGCCCCAAAACACTTAATGACCCACCAACCCACCAGTAGCAACAATCAGATTTCAAGACGTGTGGAGCAATGACCCCTGAAGAGGCTGTTGGATCTTTAATGGGCTCTCCTGCCTTCTCAATGGTGTCCTGCCCCAAACACTTAATGACCCACTTACCTACTAGTTGCAACAATCAGATTTCAAGACGTGTGGAGCAATGACTCCTGAAGGAGCTGTTGGAACTTTAATGGGCTCTCCTGCCTTCTCAATGGTTTCCTGCCCCAAAACACTTAACGACCCACTTACCCACCAGTAGCAACAATCAGATTTCAAGACGTGTGGAGCAATGACCCCTGAAGGAGCAGTGGGACCATTAATGGGCTCTCCTGCCTTCTCAATGGTGTCCTGCCCCAAAACACTTAACGACCCACAAACCCACCAGTAGCAACAATCAGATTTCAAGACGTGTGGAGCAATGACACTGAAGGAGCTGTTGGAACCATAATGGGCTCTCCTGCCTTCTCCATGGTGTCCTGCCCCAAAACACTTAACGACCCACCAACCCACCAGTAGCAACAATCAGATTTCAAGACGTGGAGCAATGACTCCTGAAGGAGCTGTTGGACCATTAATGGGCTCTCCTGCCTTCTCAATGGTGTCCTGCCCCAAAACACTTAATGACCCACTTACCCACCAGTTGCAACAATCAGATTTCAAGACGTGTGGAGCAATGACCCCTGAAGGGGCTGTTGGATCTATAATGGGCTCTCCTGCCTTCTCAATGGTGTCCTACCCCAAAACACTTAATGACCCACCAACCCACCAGTAGCAACAATCAGATTTCAAGACGTGTGGAGCAATGACACTGAAGGAGCTGTCAGATCCATAATGGGCTCTCCTGCCTTCTCAATGGTGTGTCTGCCCCAAAACACTTAATGACCCACTTACCCACTAGTTGCAACAATCAGATTTCAAGACGTGTGGAGCAATGACCCCTGAAGGAGCTGTTGGAACTTTAATGGGCTCTCCTGCCTTCTCAATGGTGTCCTGCCCCAAAACACTTAACGACCCACCAACCCACCAGTAGCAACAATCAGATTTCAAGACGTGTGGAGCAATGACTCCTGAAGGAGCTGTTGGACCATTAATGGGCTCTCCTGCCTTCTCAATGGTGTCCTGCCCCAAAACCCTTAATGACCCACTTACCCACCAGTTGCAACAATCAGATTTCAAGACGTGTGGAGCAATGACCCCTGAAGGCGCTGTTGGATACTTAATGGGCCCTCCTGCCTTCTCAATAGTGTCCTGCCCCAAAACCCTTAATGACCCACTTACCCACTAGTTGCAACAATCAGATTTCAAGACGTGTGGAGCAATGACCCCTGAAGGGGCTGTTGGAACTTTAATGGGCTCTCCTGCCTTCTCAATGGTGTCCTGCCCCAAACACTTAACGACCCACTTACCCACCAGTACCAACAATCAGATTTCAAGACGTGGAGCAATGACCCCTGAAGGGGTTGTTGGATCCGTAATGGGCTCTCCTGCCTTCTGAATGGTGTCCTGCCCCAAAACACTTAACGACCCACCAACCCACCAGTAGCAACAATCAGATTTCAAGACGTGTGGAGCAATGACCCCTGAAGGGGCTGTTGGATCGTTAATGGGCTCTCCTGCCTTCTCAATGGTGTCCTGCCCCAAAACACTTAATGACCCACTTACCTACTAGTTGCAACAATCAGATTTCAAGACGTGTGGAGCAATGACCCTAAAGGGGCTGTCGGACTATTAATGGGCTCTCCTGCCTTCTCAATTGTGTCCTGCCCCAAAACCCTTAAATGACCCACTTACCCACTAGTTGCAACAATCAGATTTCAAGACGTGTGGAGCAATGACCCCTGAAGGAGCTGTTGGAACTTTAATGGGCTCTCCTGCCTTCTCAATGGTTTCCTGCCCCAAAACACTTAACGACCCACTTACCCACCAGTAGCAACAATCAGATTTCAAGACGTGTGGAGCAATGACCCCTGAAGGAGCAGTGGGACCATTAATGGGCTCTCCTGCTTTCTCAATGGTGTCCTGCCCCAAAACACTTAACGACCCACAAACCCACCAGTAGCAACAATCAGATTTCAAGACGTGTGGAGCAATGACACTGAAGGAGCTGTTGGACCATTAATGGGCTCTCCTGCCTTCTCAATGGTGTCCTGCCCCAAAACACACTTAATGACCCACTTACCCACTAGTTGCAACAATCAGATTTCAAGACGTGTGGAGCAATGACCCCTGAAGGAGCTGTTGGAACTTTAATGGGCTCTCCTGCCTTCTCAATGGTGTCCTGCCCCAAAACACTTAACGACCCACCAACCCACCAGTAGCAACAATCAGATTTCAAGACGTGGAGCAATGACTCCTGAAGGAGCTGTTGGACCATTAATGGGCTCTCCTGCCTTCTCAATGGTGTCCTGCCCCAAAACCCTTAATGACCCACTTACCCACCAGTTGCAACAATCAGATTTCAAGACGTGTGGAGCAATGACCCCTGAAGGCGCTGTTGGATACTTAATGGGCCCTCCTGCCTTCTCAATAGTGTCCTGCCCCAAAACACTTAACGACCCACCAACCCACCAGTAGCAACAATCAGATTTCAAGACGTGTGGAGCAATGACCCCTGAAGGAGCTGTCGGATCCATAATGGGCTCTCCTACCTTCTCAAATGGTGTGTCCTGCCCCAAAACCCTTAATGACCCACTTACCCACTAGTTGCAACAATCAGATTTCAAGACGTGTGGAGCAATGACCCCTGAAGGGGCTGTTGGAACTTTAATGGGCTCTCCTGCCTTCTCAATGGTGTCCTGCCCAAAAACACTTAACGACCCACTTACCCACTAGTAGCAACAATCAGATTTCAAGACGTGTGGAGCAATGACCCCTGAAGGGGCTGTTGGATCTATAATGGGCTCTCCTGCCTTCTCAATGGTGTCCTGCCCAAAAACACTTAACGACCCACTTACCCACTAGTAGCAACAATCAGATTTCAAGACGTGTGGAGCAATGACCCCTGAAGGGCTGTTGGATCTATAATGGGCTCTCCTGCCTTCTCAATTGTGTCCTGCCCCAAAACACTTAATGACCCACCAACCCACCAGTAGCAACAATCAGATTTCAAGACGTGTGGAGCAATGACCCCTGAAGGAGCTGTTGGATATATAATGGGCTCTTTTGCCTTCTCAATGGTGTCCTACCCCAAAACACTTAACGACCCACTAACCCACCAGTAGCAACAATCAGATTTCAAGACATGTGGAGCAATGACCCCTGAAGGAGCTGTTGTTGGACCATTAATGGGCTCTCCTGCCTTCTAAATGGTGTCCTGCCCAAAAACACTTAACGACCCACCAACCCACCAGTAGCAACAATCAGATTTCAAGACGTGTGGAGCAATGACCCCTGAAGGAGCTGTTGGATCTTTAATGGGCTCTCCTGCCTTCTCAATGGTGTCCTGCCCCAAAACACTTAACGACCCCCCAACCCACCAGTAGCAACAATCAGATTTCAAGACGTGTGGAGCAATGACCCCTGAAGGAGCTGTTGGATCTGCAATGGGCTCTCCTGCCTTCTCCATGGTGTCCTGCCCCAAAAACACTTAACGACCCACCAACCCACCAGTAGCAACAATCAGATTTCAAGACGTGTGGAGCAATGACACTGAAGGAGCTGTCGGATCCATAATGGGCTCTCCTGCCTTCTCAATGGTGTCCTTCCCCAAAACACTTAATGACCCACTTACCCACTAGTTGCAACAATCAGATTTCAAGACGTGTGGAGCAATGACCCCTGAAGGAGCTGTTGGAACTTTAATGGGCTCTCCTGCCTTCTCAATGGTGTCCTGC